TGCCGTAAATTTTTGAGCCTGCCAAAATACCAAAAGGGCTTGCATAAGGCTTTGCAAATCTGGTTTAACCTATAAGAGACTTAATTTCTATCACATTTACAACTTATTGATAATTTTGGTTTGAACATTTGCCAAGTAGTCGAAATGGTCGAAACATTTCGGCAACATTTATACTCCAAAATATGAAGCATATCAGTTACAAAGAGCAATATTGTGATATAATCAAACATCTAAAAAACAGCAAAATGTACATAAAATCAAAAATGAAATCAAGAAGGTACAAGGAATAATTAAAATCTAACCAATTCAAAGACTACACAACACTATTGAAAATATAATGGAAAATACTTACCACTCAAATATCTGAGTATTTTATATAGCATATTTTTTTTAACTGAGGATAAATTTTCATATTTCCATATATTGATATTGATATTGAGTTTTGCATTACATATCGATATATAAGACGGTACAAAGTCCCCTCCATACAGTCGTAGTTATAAGTATCCCTACCCGGCTAATTTTCTGGTAACCAAGTATAATGCCATAAAATTTCCCGAACATGTAGTACAATATAAATACTGATCACACTTACTTTTTTTAGATCCGTTGATATTCTATATCAGAAATTGGATGATCGCTGAATTTTGGAAGTTCAAATAATGTCTCTTCTCATACATAAGTGATATGAGATCATTTTTTTGTACACTCACTGTAAAAGTCTGAAGCTTGGACTTGCTGCATCTGCAAAAGAGGTCAGCTGTGATAAAAAAATAGTGCAATATTGGGTTAATAGGTGGTCTGTGACCAAGGACTTGAACGATCAACCAAAATCTGGTTGCAAAAGAATCACTACCAAAAAACAAGATTAAAGAATAATTAAACTTGCAAAAAAAATAACAACATAACCACCATGCAAAAAAAAATGACAACATAACCACCATGCAAATCTGTGAAGACATGAAGAAGTATCGCGTAGAAGTCAGTGAGTTCACAATTTGCTGTCGTCTGCGTGAATTGGGTGGCAAATATACTGCACAACTTTCGAAGCCCCTGCTAACCAATAAGCATATTGAAAAAAAGCTGGCGTAGGCTAAAAAGCATAGGAACCATGACTGGAATAATGTGGTTTTTTCGGATGAAAGTACGTTCCATCTGAAGCATTGACCAAAAAAAGTGTGGCAGTTTCCTGACAAGCGCAGTGTCTTTCGGTCTGTGAAACATCCCGTGAAGGTCCATGTGTGGAGCTGTTTTTCAGCTTCTGTGTTTGGTGAGTTGTTTCTCTTTCAGAGAAACCTGAATGCAAAATATATGATTACTGTGTATGAGAAGGGTCTTCTGTCTTCTACTGATAAAATTTTTGATAAGAGTTCTGTAGAATGGGTGCTCCAAGAAGATAACAATCCGAAACACCGTTTTAAAATTGCGAAAAAATGAAAGGAAGAAAGTGGTATTAAGGTACTCCCGTGGCCTTCGATGTCACCAGACCTGAATCCAATAGAAAATGTCTGGGGAATCATGAAAATTAAACTTGCAAAAAAAAAAATTCGATCAATAAAGGGGTTAAAAAGGTTGATAGTAAAAGAATGGAGTCAATTGCCAGACGGTCTGGTGGCAAAATTAGTGGCGAATATGAATGATCGTGTAGAAGCTGTAATAGCTAATAATGGTGATTATGTATTGCATTGAGGATCACGTCTGGTCATATATTTTTAAATAAAAAAAAAATTTTTTACTTATCTGTTTGCTGCGCCAAGTTACACGGGGTGGGATACTTATGACTGCGACTGTACAAGATACCCGTAACCGATCAAGATACCTTATCGTTATTATTATTTTTTTTTGGTTAGATCGTATTGGACGCCGGGTACTTTGGTCAGTGCACTACGGTATATTATATCGACACGATGTCAATCCGAAGTGATATCCAAAGCCGATGACTAACCATGAACCATCATCGTAAATACCCGAATACAGGCAGGTCATATCATTAAATTAATAAAATTAGTAAAATCATATAACGATAATGATAACGATAACAAGAACATATAACTTTACTAATTTTAATGATACGTATAACCCGTTATGACTTTGTCATAAACCAAGATTGGCTTATGGTACGTCAGAATTGGTCTTAATTAAACGGAATTTTCAGTAAATTTGTACTAGAGATGGCGGTCAGATGATCACATTACCTTTACAGGCTGATACGGTTCGACAATTATTATAATTTTACTATTGTATAAACAATAGTAAACGTACGTAAAGGCTTAGTTTGCCTTTCAAAAAAAGTCAATCGGACTATTACATGACAGTCCGAGGCAGAACTTTGTACGATACACTTTAATTATGACGTAAGTTACATTTTTTTATGTGATGGCTAGTGTAACCCATTGTATTATCGTAAAAATTACAATTATTTGCTAACCTTAATGAATGACGTAATATGATAAAAAAGAATTTTGATTAACTATAAATTATGTCACATATACAGTAATTACGTAATAACATATTAAATTTTTGTTTAATAAATTCTAACTATATAATTAGCTTGCGTAAGAAACTTTCAATATGATACTAAGTTCGAATATTAAGGGACCATTTAATCTTATTTCATAGGTAAACAATTCTCTTCCGTAAGTATTCTCCTCCGTAAGTATTTTTTTAAATTACATGCGAAAAAAGATATAGAAAAAAGTCACGTAACACATCAAGAGTTTTTTTTTTTTTTAAAGAATACTTATAGAAAAGGTTAATTGCAACGTTCTATCCGTGTTTTCGAACCTTGCGATATGTAACTAGAAGAAAATTTCATTTAATAAATGTTTAATTCAACGGTTTGGTTTAGGAAATTACGAAATGAAGATAAAGTATAATTATGGTATGGCTTATATCAATGACTTACGTACGTACGTACGTACGTTTCTACTGTATCATTCGTACATATATGTATATATGTATGTACGTTAGGAATGTGGGGGGGTCTTGTGATTTACAGAGATCTTAAGAAATACATAAACGTACATATGATTTATTTTTTAGGAACGCAGATCTTCAGGTCTCTAATATAGATGTGTACTGTACGTAAGTATTTACTAGAGTATCCAGCTTACTGCTAGCACAAAATCTGCACAAATATGTAAATAAGCAGAACAAGCAGGATTATTAATTATATAACGAGAATAATTACTGCGTAATAACAATAAGCAATATTCTTAATTGTAATTGGTTAAGCAGATTATGCAGAAATAGTCATACAAGCAATAAATAAAAGAATAAATTAATGGTTTAAAAGAAACGAATTTCTGGATAGTGGTAATCGCTTACTAAGAAAATGATTCTAGAAAAAGAAGTGTGTTAACTGTAATTTGTTAGCTTAGTAAAAAAATACACAAATATGTAATATTCGTATCAGTTATGAATAATATCCGCAATGGATAATATATCGACAAAAGTTAGTAGATGTTTACGGAAGAAAGTAACTGCAGGGTCTTTAAAAATCAAAAAAAATCGATTGGGTAAAAAAAAAGAAACTAAACTGAACATAGAGTAATGGTGTTAAGGCGAAATTTAAACATAAATTATGATTGAATAATTTAGGCTAATCATAAAACCGAAAAAAAAACAAATATCTGATCTTTAATTTATCGAATCCATATAATAAATTATTATAAACAAAATTGTATAGCTATTAAGGTTAGTGTAACCCTGAAATAAGAATTGATTATCGTTATAAATCATTATTAATTAAAAAGATCTACAATTAAAGCACGAGTATGTAGAAAAAAGGAATTGCTATGACAATGTTACATCAGAGCTTGAAAGACGTTTACATGTGTAAACATATAAATATCATCAAATAGTAGTGATGATATAAATAGCAAAAGTGATAAATCGTAATGATGACGATCAATTATGCAGCTCTCCGATAGTGATAGTAATAGTGATAGTAATAGTAATACTGTAATAGAAAATCCATATGTCCGGTTTTCAGGAACAATGATTAAAAGTCAAGCCAAATTAAAAAAAGTAATTCAATATATAAATACGTACGTAATATTGAAGACACAAAAACTTATTAAAATCGCAGGAAATTAATATATATATATATATATATATATATATATACAGTATATATATATATATATATATACAGTATATATATATATATATATATATAGAATAAATCATTCTACTATCTTATAATGGAATTAAATATATATTTTTGCTATATTAGATTAACAAAAACCCTGAATATACTATACATCGTACGTCGTATGGGGATACCCGCAAGATAACAGATAAGTAAAAATATACGTAATTTTACATAAACATTTGATTGTTCAAAACTTACAATTATGTAGGATAAAAGATTAGATTTTGGTATATGCACAAAAAAAGGGACACTTGCATTCATTTTAAACATTAAATTCGTTAACAATTGAAAGGAAAAAAAAAGCTAGTTTTCAAATATATATTAATACGTTTGATATTAGAAATAAAACTTGACAGATGAGTGATCTTTTGCTTCGCATTATTAGAAATTAAAGTAAACAATGGTTTTTAAGTAGTATTTTTAATATAATTTTAACCAGTTTGCTCTAGTATGGAAATTTTATTATGATACAAAAAATTGAACACAAAAATCGTCATCAGTTGATGTTTATTTTTAAATTCAGATGTTAATGATAAATTATCATCACGGTTATGACGCAAAGATCGATCAAACTAATTTAATTTCACTGAGGCTTACGCATATTATGCAATATTAGTATGCGTTATGATGAATTCATTCCTATTTTGGAAAACCATTAGTTAGTTGATTATTATAAATAGTGTATTTACGTACGCACGTATGTTTTTTTTTGTCAGAAATTAAAAAGTCACTAATTGTATAGTGAAGATTTATATTAATTTCACATAATATTTTCCTAATCCATTTCGAGATTTATTTCGAATCTTGTTTTAATAAACGTTCCTGTTTTAATTTCTTAAAACAAATGGACACCAGTCAACACTTAAACTCATCAAAAAATGAACCTACTGACTCGATGATAACTGCCGCCAAAAACGATTACGCTTATCGACTTTACTTGCACACTCAACAACAACTTATACGCGCAAAATCGAAACAACAGTCAAGTCATCAAAAACATAGAAAAAAAGATAAAAATTCAGTTAATGTGAGCACTATAAATTTTATCTCTCACCCAAATACCGTAATAAATACCGTAATAAATACCGTAATGATCTAACATTAAAATGCTCATCGATAACTATATAAGATTTTGGCAAAAGTAGTATGTTGTTCGTCGAAACCGAAGAAAACGGATGTTGAGGAATATTAGCAATAATGGTGGGTCATTCTCATCTCCAGCATTTAAGAGTCAACGATAAGCTATTATACTTTATACTTCTTTATACTTCTTTATACTTCTTGAATGATTTATTCATCAGGACAATCATAACGTCAATTTTGTAATAGATTTACAAAAAAAAGGGTAAATACAATTTTGTTGAATCAGCATTAATCATATATTCTTTTATTAGTTAGTTTATTGTGCATTGTTTTTCCTTTGGTTTTTTTTTTTTTTTTTTTTTGTCTCTTTTTTTTTTTTTTTGTCCTTTTTTTTTCTTTACCTTTTTTTTCGAGAATTTTTTTTATATTTGTCAAACATTCACGCATTACAAGAAGTTGAAATAGAATGTTCACTTTTTATAATTGTAAATAAAGAACTTAATTTGCATACACAATAATTACAAATTTTACAAAGATTTATTAATTTATTCTCTGAAAGATTCTATTTGTCGAAACAGTTAAGCCTAATACTGGAACTGTAATTTATCTGGATAAATGCAATATACAAATAAGCATTGTTTATATTGCTATCATCTCATTTTTATTTATTGTTCGATTATAGGTAATCGGTATGTATCTAATTAACGATTTCTGATACCGATATTGTATCAGAAATTTCCGTTACACGATTTATTAATACTTTACATGTATTGGGCACTAAATCGTGAACGCTGTCATTATCAGAAATTATCAGAACTTGTGTTAGAATTTAAATGCTGTGCTTTAATTATATATTCAGTGGTCTGTGCTCTAACGATAACGATACTTTTAAATTATATGATCAAAAATATAAAGTGGCATTACATGATTACTGTAAATTGTAAATTGTATTAACGGGTACGTACGTACATCTCTTTGTATGCGATATTACTGCAGCTCATTTCGTTAATCCTGATACGTACGTCTTACAAGTACACCTCAGCTTACACCATACAGTTGAATGTATTCTATATTTTGATTGGTTATACACTATACAATAATGCAATAATGTATGTTTATTTATTTAATTACTACTGCTCATAATTTATTTCATTAAATATAATACCTGTTATGTTATTATGTTCGAGTATTTGATATTTTTTAATTTTTTACAACAGATTCCCGATCTATTATTCATATTAGCGAAATTAGTATAAGTGGTATAAATAGAGTTTGATATTATTTGTAAAACTGATAGAGTGTGTGATATTAACAAATAACATTATAAATAACATTATAAATAACATTATAAATAACATTATAAATAACATTATAAATAACATTATAAATA